TTTTATTATTATTGTTATTTTAATTTACTCAGGAAGAACAATTGTGGAACAAATGTAGAACAAATCTACATACAATTATTTTAGAACCCAGATTAAATAAATAAAAATGACAGTTTTAAAGGAACAAATTAAAATAAGAAATATGATTTTAGCTTACATCTTGATTCCTAGCTGTTTTAGCTTATTTTAAACCTTGTTTTGTCTTATTTTTAATATTATTTTTAAGCCATCTTGCTCCCCCCTTGGAAGTATGCTGAGGCCCCCTGGCTGAGAACCACTGGATTACTGGGATAGCAACAGAAAAGTTAAATCAAACATGATCATTTGCAACAAATATTCCTTTTATCAAACAATATTTCAAGCTTGTAACGGTTCAACCTGTAGGTCCAGCAGGAGGCCCAGGATTCGGTATACTGGGAGTGCTGCCATGAGCTTCTGTTTTTACCTGTTAAGAGATAAAAAAACTCATTTATATGTGCTCAAACTGTTCATGCCCTCTGAGCAGCATTTTTGCACTCACGTGGGTGTTGTTTATTTGATTGATTCTAGCCAGCACCTCTGGGTTGGGCTCACTGAAATTTGGCACCTCTGAGAAAATCATACAGAACCTTCGATAGATGCAAGAAAGTGCTGGTTATTGTCGTTATCGTTTTGGTGTCAAAGAACTTAAATTCAATCAGCTGTGAAGACCTACTCTCCGGTCTTCTGAAGGTCCCCTGTTCTCCCAATATACAGTGTAAGACAGCCTTTGAAGAGAGATGCATATCTGAAATCCAATAACACCATAATAATAAAGAACAAATCAAAACCTTCTATATAAGACGCATATAATTATCAGGATTAATAATATCATCAATAATAAACTGTCACCCTCGATTGAGTCGGATGATGTCTCCAGTTTGTATCAGGCTGCCCACTTCGTCCCACACTGATATGGTAATACTTCCGGTCCTGTCAGCTACTTTACATGAACGCACTTCGTGTCCATCCTTTGTCTTAGATACTCGACCTGACACATTTTGTTCAAGAAGCACATAGATGGACCATACTTGAAATGTACAGTAGGTGAGTTGTTTCTGGGAATTAGTTATCGAACTATTTCCATTAATCAGTTCTTTCAGTTAGTTTCAAAGAACCGGTTCATAAAAAAAACAACTGTTGGATGTAAGTTAATTAAAGGGGTCATATGATGCGATTTCAATTTTTCCTTTC